AGTTACATACAAGGGAGTACCCATACAACTGTCAGCTGATTTCTCAACAGAAACCATGTAGGCCAGAAGAGAGTGGCAAGAAATATTCAAAGTGATGAATAGCAAGAACCTACAACCAAGATTACTTTATCCAGCAAAGCTATCATTCAGAATAGAAGGTCAGATAAAGAGCTTCACAGATAAGAAAAAGCTAAAGGAGTTCATCTCCACCAAACCAGCATTATATGAAATGCTGAAAGGCATTCTTTAAGAAGAGGAAGAAGAAAAAGGAACTTTACCATTTGCCACAGCATGGATGGAACTGGAGAGCATTATGCTAAGTGTAATAAGCCAGTCAGAGAAGGATAAATACCACATGATCTCACTCATTTGTGGAATATAATGAACAACATAAACTGATGAACAAGGACTGATCCAGAGAGGGAGAGGCACTGATTGGACTGTCGGGCCTTGGAGGGAAGGTAGGGGAGGGTGGGGGTAAGGGGGAAAGATCAACCAAAGGACTTATATGCAAGCATATAGGCCTAACCAATGGACACGGACAACGGGGGGGGGGGGGGGGAGGACTTGAGCGGGGGGGGGGGGGGGAGGGTGTAATGTGGGGTTAAGGACACATATGTAATATCTTAATCAATAAAAAATATATTTTAAAAAAAAGAAGAAATAAAGGCCTGATTGTTTGGGTAAGGGCTCTGCAGATATAGAGGCAATGGTGAGAGCTAAAAACTTTTAGTTAAGTTTTTAGAAATACATTTATAGATTTAAAAAAAAAATTTTTTTTACCAATTTAAAACAGCAGTCTGGATGCATAATCTCTCAAAATTTAGGATGAGGCAGGAAATGGCTAAACATGAACCTATGATTACCCAGGATTCTCTGCACTCCTACTTAGAGCCCATCCAGATATAGAAGGCAAGCTTGGGAACCAGGGCTTTAAGGGAGGGGGTGTGACAGGTTGATTCTCCGGCAAAAAGTAAAGACAAAAGAATCAGAACACAAAGTGACAGATTGAAAATTTTAAAACTTGGTCCTTCACAGGTGGTCCGAGACACACTACTTGGGCATTTTAGTGAGGTGTACGTCCCATGGGCATGGAAGAGACCAAGATAGGCTCTAAAGTACCATCAGGAGTCTTTGTAGTTAGAAGAACTAAAAGGTGTCAACATGGGGCAGGGACTGACTTTGGGGGCAGATGGACCTGGTTTGAGTTAGGATGTGTCCTTCGAAGTTGACCTCTGTCCAAGGTGCCCACACTCACCTTGTCTGGCACACTCACCTCTTCGCAACCCCTCATCATGTGCCCTTTGCAGCTATATTTTTTTTTTTTGGTGGTCTAGACATGACCTCCTTCTTTACATTCCTACAAAACCCCATGTGTATGTGTTATTAATGTGCCCAACATATTCACCATGTCTGTTTGCTTCATGACACATTTCTATGTAAACATGCAGTTAGTCTATTTCACTGGATTCCCAGCTTCCTGAGGGCAGGCACAGCACCATCATTGTTTTGTTTTGTTTTGTTTTTTTGCACCATTTAATTCTTAGCACCTAGCATTGTACCTGGCTGGCATCAATCAGTCTTCAATGAATATTGTTAAATAAATAGATGTTCTTTAAATGTCTCTAAGTTTTCTGTAAAATAGAGATAAAGCTGAAACTTGCTTTAAGTGTTGCAGGAATTAAATAATGTAGCACACATGAAGTACTCAGAATAATGCCTGGGACATAGCTAACAATCAATAAACATTAGCTGACATTAATATTTAGAACATCAGTTCATAGCCTAGGGGCCTGCTTTCAAATTAAGGAATTATGTGAGTCACCTGAACTTCTGTGCAAATTGTGAGTGTATATTTTTCTGAAAAGAAGACCCTTAATATTCAGACTCTCAATGGTGACCATTACTCCATCCTCCAAAAGAAATTGACAATCATTGCCATAGAGTAACAGTAAATATTAAACTATAGAGAATAACACAGCAGCCCATTTTACCTGAGTGTAGGGACTACTAATTCTAATCTTCACTCAGTCCTAATTTGCTTTAATACTCAAATTACAGAGCACTGAACTAAGATCCAGTGGATACCGACTCTCATCCAAATATGTCTACTTTCATTTTGCTCTATGATCTTGGTTAATTCACCCACCCTCTTATTTTAGAAACCTTTTTTGCCCTAGATAACGCAGAGATAATGCAAGGAGGAATTAACTTTTTAAAAAATTTCAAAATCCTCACCCAAGGATATGGTGTTGATGAGAGAGAGAGAGAGAGAGATAAAGAGAAACACCATTTCCCCCCCCCCCCCCCAGGCATGTGCCCTGACAGGGAATCAAACCCACATCACTTTTGATACTGAATACCTATCAAGGGCTGGAATAATTTATTTTTTAATCTTAAAGATATAAAAACAAAGAACTACATGGAGAATGTGGGATCTGCAAAGAAAAAGATCTTGTACTCAGAGCATCCTTTTTCCTAATCTGTAAAGTAAGTGAATTAAATTAGATGACATTTAAGATTTTTTTTCTCTAACTATTCTCCACAATTCAAAGACTTTAAATATAAATAGCCTCTGTTCTGGGAATTTGTTTTCTATTTGAGTTTTCACTGTATTAATTTGCGCCATTGCCCACATCAAGGACACTATTTTTATTGACCCATTTGCAAAACTGGGGTAGGGGTGAGAAAGTAGAAGCCATGTTCCGCTCTTTGCTGATTTTGATTTCATATATTTAACACTGTGGTGAGCTTTCTGGACTTAAGTTAAGAAAGGATAGCTAGAAGAACCCAAGAGTTGGGGAAGCCAAGAGGACCAAAATTCCAGCTCAAAATATTCTCCCCATAGGGTTCAGCAGATCATGAATGGGAGAAGAATATAACTCCTCTCTTTGGAGCTGTAAATTATGTTCCCTCCTTACCCATCCCCTATGAATGCATGAGTTGTGCACAGCAAGGTAACAGTGTCTTGTATTGGAGTGAAGATCTATCTTAGGAAATTTGGGTTTCTAAAGAGGAGAAGGAGACAGAGTAAAGTGGAGGCTGTTAACTCACAATAATAGGACATTTGGGAAAGTTTCATACAGGAGAAGTCAAGGGCTCTGAATGCCAGGAAACAAAGAATATGACCCTGCAGTTTCTTTGGAAGGTAGGGGACCTAAAAAGGACTCTGTACAGTGGTTTTCCATACACCACTTCTGTTGGTTAGCTCAAGAGAGCTCACCTAGACCAATATTGACACATTGAAAACATAACCTCACTCTGGCCAGATGGAGCTTTCCAGATAGAATCCAGACTAATGAATCTAGTCACATCCAGATCACTCTCTGAAGTTCTAATTATTGTCTGTTCATCCAGCTCCTTCTTCAAAGCCCATTATCTGAAGGCACACGGATAAATATAATATCATCTCAGGTAATAACAAACCCAAACATTTGAACCATAAAGAGAATTTTCTGCATTCTGCTCTGGTTTGCTTCCTATACCATTATTTTGCTGATGGCCCAATTTCTCCATGAGGAAAATTCTACTCTGAAACATAGTTGAGCCTGGAGTGCAATGAAATCACATTGCCTATAACTCACACAGACTCACTGACCTGATTTCTATAAATAGATAAATTCGTCAAGGAAAAACACAGAATCAAAATCTAAAAGCAAACTCAGGAAATTATTCATTTTAGACTTTTGCCTCAGGGCAAATTAAAATTTCAATGATCCCTAAAAACCCATGTCTCTCTGTATTTTTTAATAGCGATTCAGATTAAATAAGATTTCTTGATGACTCCTAATATATGATCAATTTTTCTATCATAAGAGTTCTTTTTTTCCAAATGTAGGAGAATAGATAAGAACTAAATAAAGCTTCTAAACTGTAGTGGCTGTCATTTTCCATCAGGAAAGGATAGATTACTTTCCTGATGTAACATATATTCATTCCTTCACCCATTTATTCATTCATTCGACATTCACTTGAAAAGTATTTATCAAATGCCTACTATATCTAGTCACAGTTTTAGAGAGATACAGTTTATTGGTTCGCTAGGGCTGCCATAACAAAGCACCATGTCTTAAACAACAGAAATGTATTGTCTCACAGTTCTGGCGGCTAGAAGCCAAGATCAACGTATCAGTGGGATCGGCTCCTTCTGAGAGCTGTGAGGGAGAAACTGTTCCATGCCTCTCTCCTAGCTTCTGGTGGTTTGCAATCTTTGGCATTCCTTGGTTTGTAGAAGCATTGCATTCTCCCTATGTGCATGTCTCTGTCCAAATTTCCCCTTTTATAATATCATCAGTCATTGGATTAAGACCCACCTTACTTCAGTATAACATCTTCTTAACCACCTACACCTGCAACAATCTTATTTCTAAATAAGTCCATATGCTGAGGTACTGGGGGTTAGGATTTCACTACATGAATTTTGAGGGGAAACAATTCAATTCATAACAAATAAGAATAAAACAAAATCCCTGCAACCAAGAAGCTTACCTTTAAATGACATTGTGGTGGTGGTGTGTGTGTGTGCAAGAAAATGTAAAATGAAGAAAGAAAGCAGAATAGGGGTATAGTGCAGTGATGAAGTTTAAGGGATTGCTACTTCTGATATACATCTCTTTGATGAAGTGCCTTTTAAATAGACCTGACTAAAGTAAGAGGCTGAGTCTGATGAAAATCCAAGAGGAAACATGTTCTAAGCAAAGGGCACAGTGAGTGCAAACACTGTAGAGGAAAACCTCTCACTAACGCCTCTGATTGCAAAATGATCCTGGGAGTGTTATGTCAGGAGTGACATATTCTGGTAGATATTTCACTACCAGCTCCTAATTCTTTCCTCTCTCCCTTTTGAAGATTCATTTACATAAATAGTTATCTAGCTTTTATTATACTCCAGTCATTGCTTGGAGCTAAATGAAAATCCAAACAGGAATAATCTAAAGTAAATTTATAAATGACATTAGATTTGGATAAAACTTGATAACTCATTATAATTTCACTTTTTACCTGACTTTAAGAGTGACTTCTCAGAATTCCCCTGGGAATTCTTCCTTCCACAGTGCATTACAACTTCACAACAGTGCACCTAGATATATACAACAAATATAAACAGACCTTAAGAGAGAAATATAATAATAGTAGGAGAGTTTAATACTCTACTTACATCATTTAATATATCATCCAGACATAAAATCAGTTAAAACTAAACTTATCTCGGTGATCACTTCACAAGCATATAGTCTAATCACTATGTTGTATACCTGAAACTAATATAATATTGTATGTCAACTGTAATTGAAAAATAAATTTAAAAAAATCAGTAAGAAAACACTGGCCTTAAACAACATATTAAACAAGATGGACTTAACAGATATATATAGAACATCCCATCCAAAAGTGACAGAGGCACATTCTTCTTAAGTACACATGGAACATTTTCCATGTTAGATCACAAAACAAGTCTTAATAAATTTAAGAAAATTAAAATCCTACCACGCATCTTTTCCAACAATAATTATATAAAACTAGAAATTAATTATATAGAGAAAACTATAAAATTTACAAATATGTGGCAATTAAACAACATGCTACTGAATAATTAATAGGTCAAAGAAGAATAAAAATAATCTAAATATATCTTGATACAAGTGAAAATGGAAATCTAACGTATCAAAATTTATAGGATGCAGCAAAAGCAGTTCTAAGAGGGAAGTTCATAGCAATAAATGCCTCAAGAATCAAGATATGCATAACCCATAGACAATAGTGCAGTGAAGCCCTGGGGAGGGGGCCGGAGTGGGGAGGAGGGGGTCAATGGGGGATAATGAGGGAGGAAAGCATCTGTAATTCTTTCAACAATAAAGATAAATTTTTTAAAAAGACAAGTCTCAAATAAATAACCTAACTTTATACCTCAAGAAACTAGAAAATAAGAACAAATGAAGCCCAAAGTTAGTAGAAGAAGACAAATAACAAAGATTTGAGTAGAAATAAAGACTAAAAAGACAATAAAAAAAGATTAATGAAACTAAGAGCTGGTTCTTTGACAAAATAAACAATATTGACAAACCTTTAGCTAGACCCGCCAAGGAAAAAAAGAGTGCAAATAAATAAAATCAGAAATGAAAGAGGAGATCTTATAACTGATAACACAGAAATACAAAGGATCATAGAAGACTACTATGAACAATTATACACTAACAAATTGGACAACCTAAAAGAAATGGATAGCCGAAACCGGTTTGGCTCAGTGGATAGAGCATCGGCCTGCGGACTGAGAGGTCCCAGGTTCGATTCCGGTCAAGGGCATGTACCTGGGTTGCGGGCATAGCCCCAGTAGGAGATGTGCAGGAGGCAGCTGATCGATGATTCTCATCGATGTTTCTAACTCTCTATCTCTCTCCCTTCCTCTCTGTAAAAAATCAATAAAATATATTTTTAAAAAAAAATAAATGGATAAATTCCCCAAAACATACAACCTACCAAAACTCAATCATGAAGAAATAGAAAATCTAATCTGGCTGATTACTAGTAAGGAGATTGAAGCAGTAGTCAGAAATCTCCCAATAAAGAAACATTCAAGATCATATAGCTTTGCTGGTGAATTCTACCTAACATGTAATGAAGAATGAATACCAATCCCTCTCAAACTCTTCAAAAAATAGAAGAAGAGAGAACTCTTCCAAACTCATTTTTTCCAGGCTAGTAGTATTCTCATACAAAAACCAAACATGGACATTACAAGAAAAGAAAATAACAAGCCAATATCCCTAATGAACATAGATACAAAAATCTTCAACCATGTTAGCAAACTGAAATCAACAACACATTGAAAAGATTATACACACAATCAATTGAGATTTATTCCAGGGATGTAAGAATGATTTAACATCTACAAATCACACAATGTGATACATTGCATTAACAAAAAAGGATAAAAATCATATGATCATCACGATATTGAAAAGTCATTTGACAAAATTAAACATCCATTTATGTTAAAAACTCTCAACAAAGTAGGAATAGAGGAAACATACCTTAACATAAGAAAGGCCATATATGGCCCAGGCAATGTGGCTCAGTGGTTGAATGTCAAACTATGAACCAGTAGGTCACAGTTTGATTCCTAATCAGGGCACATGCCTGGTTTATGGGCTCAGTCCCCAATGCGTGGCTTGCAGGGGCAGCTAATCAATGATTCTCTCTCATCACTGATGTTTCTATCTCCCTGTCCCGTCCTCTCTTAAATAATTAAAATGTCCATACTACCCGAAGCAATCTATAGACTTAATGCAATCCCTATAAAATACCAATGGCATATTTCCCTCTACAGGAGTGGGCAAACTTTTTGACTCGAAGGCCACAATGGGTTCTTAAACTGGACCGGAGGGCCGGAACAAAAGCATGGATGGAGTGTTTGTGTGAACTAATATAAATTCAAAGTAAACATCATTACATAAAAGGGTACGGTCTTTTTTTTTTTTAGTTTTATTCATTTCAAATGGGCCGGATCTGGCCCGCAGGCCGTAGTTTGTCCACGGCTGCCAGAACAAATACTCCAAAAATGTATATGGAACCAAAAAGGACTCCAAGTAGCCACAGCAATCTTGAGAAAGAAGAACAAATTTGAAGGGATCACAATACCAGATATCAAGTTATACTAAAAAGTCACTATAATCAAAACAGTCTGAGACTGGCACAAGAATAAGCATATAGATCAATGGAACAGAACAGGGAATCTAGAAATCAACACAAGTCATTATGTTCAATTAATATTTGACAAAGGAGGCAGGGGCATACAATGGAGTAAAGACAGTCTCTTCAATAAATGATGTTGGAAAAATTAGACAGGTACATACGAAAAAATGAAACTAGACCACCAACTTATACCATACACAAGAATAAACTCAGAATTGATAAAAGAATTAAATGTAAGCCATGAAACCATAAAAGCCCTAAAAAAAAAACATAGGCAGCAAAATATCAGACATCTCGAGTAGCAGAATTTTCACAGATACATTGCCTAGGGCAAGAGAAACAAGGAAAAAAGATAAATAAATGGGACTACATCAAACCACTACATTCTTTTAATACTTCCAAACCATTAGCTTAAAAATCTACTCTTGACTTTTTCTGGGGTCATCTCTGAGAATAGCTGACTTGTTTACAGACTGTGGAATCTATCTCTTTTTTAAAAAATGGATTGGCATTTTTGTTATTTATTTATCTTTTGGTCTCTGCAATATCTCAGTAATTGTTAAGATTAATCCTAAGCTTACATTCACTCATTCAAAAAGAACATTTTGAACATCTACTATTTGCCCCATACCCCAGTTTTCTCAGTAGCCTGGCATAGTTTACACCCAGTGCTGGCAACTAGAATTCATTAAAGTAACCAGGCTTTGTCTTACTGTTCACTCATTTACTTAGAGTAACAGTCAACTCCCTTTTTGCACGTAATGCTGAGTCATGATTTCCTCCTTAGTAAAGTAGGTTAATAGCTATTGTGACTACCTCACTGGGTAAAAATACAATGAGACAGGTGTTTAAAAAAACAAAACAAAAAACACGTGCCAACAGACAAAGAACCACCCAAAATAATTAAAGGTGCTATTTTGTTTTTGTCCTTCCTGAAGACCACTTTCCTTGCTGCAGAATTTAAAAGCAAAAAATGAATTTAATAAGCTTTGTTATCTGTTATCATTATACCATCTGTCCCCTAGGCAGCTGGGTGATCACTTTCTTGTTCTTCTAGTTTCTAATACAGAAGAAAAGCTCCTTTTGTGGTCCTAAACATTCAACAAGCTCAAACTTTATTTTGTATTTGTTATTTATACTCCAATGGTATTTTATATTAAGATACAAATATAGCACTGGCTGGTTTATCTCAGTGGAGAGAGTGTCAGCCTATGGACTAAAGGATCCCGGGTTTGATTCCGGTCAAGGGCACATCACTTGGTTGCAGGCTCCCAGCCATGATCAGGGGCATGTGGGAGGCAACCAAACAATGTATCTCTTTCACATTGGTGTTTCTCTCTGTCTTCCCCTCTCCCTCCTGTTCTCTCTAAAAATCAATGGAAAATATCCTCAGGTGATGATTTAAAAAATAAAAATAAAAATAAAAATAAACAGATACAAATACAATCAGTTGCAACCAATAAAAGATGAAGAGACCAAGAATAAAAGGAAGAGGTGGATGGGTAAGAAAACCTCAGCTAAACATCTGTGCAATGGAACATATACTTATCTGTACTTTTTGGAAACAGATTCAAAAACAACACTGGACTGGAGTGTGGTACAAGAGGAGTTACAGGGCATTCTCTGGTTAGTAACAGGAAGTATAACAAGAAACACACTTGTCTGTCCCTCTAAACTCTAAGAGATATCACAGATAGAATTTTACATAAAGAACACAAAATAACCTAACGGAAAATGTCTTCAACAGCAATTTTACAAAGAAGGAAATACATTCTCCAAATGGTTACTTTTATATGCAATCCTATCTAATAATAGACAAACTTGGTAATTGACCATACTTTTGCTGCACTTCCCATTGGCTAATCAGGGTGATATGCAAATTAACTGCCAACAAAGATGGGGGTTAATTTGCATATGTAGGCACAATGCTTAGGAGGTGAAAGGGGAAGGATGGAAGAAGCCACCTGCCACTGACGGTGAGCGGAAACCCCGGCAGCAGGCAAGAGCAGGGTGGCAGGGCAAAGGCGGCCCTTGGGGCGGCCCTTGGGGCTGCCTTTTCCCGCCCCCCGGATGGTGATCGGAGAAGTTGGGTGGGGCAGGGAAGAGGCGGCCCCCGGCAGCTGCCTCTTCCCTGTCCCTGTACGCCCCCCCCCCCGCCCCCCTGCCGGTGATTGGTAATTGGAGAAGCCGGGTGGGACAAGGAAGAGGTGGCCGCCAGCAGTCACCTCTTCTCTGCCCTTCTTCCCTCCCCCAGCAGGTGTTTGGAGAAGTACCTGTATTTTTTTTTCCAAAGTACCTGTATTTTTAATAATTTTTTACATGGTAAAAGAATTTTACTTTATGATCCAGGGTGGTGGGGTGAGGAGAAGGAGCAGCAGAACAATCCAA